CGTCACCATAATTGGCACACCGGTCATGGATGCATGGATGCAGTCAAGTAATACATAATTGTTTATATATACATATACATATGTATGTATGCATAAGTATCCAGTTGTACGGTTTTGGACAGCAGACTTATTTGATTTCGTATACTCATAAGCGTTGCACTGCAATCAATGCTATATATTAACCATAAATTATGCAATTTCTAATTGGAAAAGCAATTTCACATTGGCCGAACTGGTTATTTCCAGGTATACATATACGAACTATTTATATCGTCTTCATTGTGCATTTTTAGTTTCGCACTTCATAAAAATGCAAGCACCATCTATCCACTTTTCCTCTTCCCACTTTTTAAGTGCAGCCAACTTAAGAATACTGTGAAGGGGGTAAGGAGGAAGCTAGGAAAGTTATCGCTATGCTGTTCGCTTGTACTTTTTCTTTGCTTTCAACAGATTGCTTTTAACTTTTGCTGCTTTCAACACTAGTGCAGAAATGAAAAGATACTAGAAGCTAAAAGATTAAAATGGCTTAGTGGTGAGCACGTGTATCTAATTTTGGTACAATCTTTAAAAATCCACAATTTTATATGGATGTGTGTTGATGACAGAAGAATGCGAGTGACTGTCTTAAGATAGTTAAGTTTAGCGTTGCGCCTGGGTGAGTGAAAACTTTGCAACAATTGAAGCGTTTTCACGCAAATAATTGTTAGTTGTTACGAATACAGCGTTTAAATAAAATAATATTTATTTTTCACAGTCGCTTTTCATATTTCACATATTATTTATGCGATCTATAATATAAATATTTATATATGTATTATACCTTTCAGATTCATCAGTGTGCAAAAATATCAAATTCGAAATAGCGCTTTTTGGACTAAAAGTACAGAACTTGTAAGCAAATATGGCATGGTTATAGAAATATAATCTCCTTTAGTGATAGCTATCAAACCAACTGTCAAAGTACTTATGTGACTTGGACATTTGTGATCAGTTCAATTTGTCAAGCTACGATACAACGAATTCCACCGAATTAATGTTTAAAAGTTACGGAGTTAACGCTGAGCAGCACAACTAGACTACAATTTAATTTGCTATATAAATTTTACTAGTGTCTCACTGCATACACAATTCAAACTAAAGCTTTCAAGTTTTTATTCGTCTTCACATTTAAGTGGTAACTAAAATAATTTAACACCTCTGAACTTTTAACAAGCAATACTAATTTCTGCTCTTCGTTGCACAGCGCCGCCACAGACCACACCAATTGGCGCACATACATACACACTTGTATATTCATACATATTAATTTTAAAAATTATGTAAGCATGTAGGTAGCTTATAGTACATATGGTATTATGCAAGGAGCTCCAACTATACACTAACTCAATGACAGAGCAACTGCTGCCACTTGTTGCTCTTCTGCACATTCACAATTTCAACTGCCGCCAACTTCTGGCGCACTCTCCTACCCATACTCGCTTTTATACGATTGCAATGCCTACTTGGGCGATCAGTCGGGGAAGACTGGTATTGACTTTTTAATGTGTACTCGTCGCTTTGCCTTAACAAAGCAAGCATGGCACATTGTTTCAATGCCGGCCGGTATTTTCAATAATTATACTCTTACATACAACTTCGATGTGAAAGCAATATGCGCAAGCCTCGCTTACCCAGTAAGGTCTGCCCAGCGACGTATGAAATGCGGCTCAGTTTTGGCGGCAAGTCCGACGACGAAGAGCAAAAGCGGCAACATGGAAGTGGGTATATAAGTAGCGTAATGCAATATTGCAAAAATGCACGAAACAACTCAGCAGACACGACAGTAGACGCGAGATGACTTTGAAGAATGCAGACGCTTGGCAATTACCAATCGCCAGCAGTGCAGCGTGCTTACATATGCGATAGTACCATAAATAAAGAGGCAATACAAAATATATAAAAAAGAAGTGAGTACAACTCATATGAAACAACAAAAAACAAAAACCTGACTGCATAAGAGTGTTAGCGGCAGAGGCTTTGGCAACTCGTCTGCAGCCAGTGGTCGAGGCAGTTTGGCGCAGCCACATATTTTGTTTAGCAGCCACTATGTCGGCGTTGTCTGCGTACATATGTATATCTAAATGAATGGTATGTAGGTATGTATGTTGAGAGTGCAATGGCTGCGTGTTGGCTATTTTTATACACGTCCAACTAAAATAGATTTTCAAATACTTATATGCCATACATACTTACATACTTATATGTTTTCAAAATGGACCAAGTGCCAGCAATGACAAGAAAAACCGGGCGGCGCGGATTTTGCAAATATATATATATACTGGTTTTTAACATTTCTTAGGGTACTGACTAAGTTTTACGAGTATTACCTAAAATTCATAACTTACTAGTTTTCATAATCATCCTTTCGTAGAATAAACGCTGAACTTTATTGTCACCTTGCAGTTCATAAATATTCAAAATTGGTCTTAAAAAAATCAAAATCAAGAAAATTACACTCGAATACCCATTACTTGTAGTTTATATTCACAAGAAACCTAGTTTTCTTAAATTTAATCTATATGGTTCTACTTATACTCTGCATTTTCTGACTTGGTCTATTAAACTAGAGGGTATATCTTGCCGCTCAGGTCGAAGGAATATTGTCGATTGTGTGAACTTGCCATAGAGATACGAAATCACATACTCCTTGATTATCCTGTATTTGCAAGAAGAATAAGCCAAGCTACCGAAAGGATGTATCCGATAAGAGATCACGACACCTCCAAGCGCATTGTAAGTATTGTAAAACGCTTGGGTTCGGTAAAGTGATGTGGAAAGAAGGGAGAACACAATCGACCAAAGTTTGCAGTGTATACTTTTTCTTAATATGTCTATCTACAGGGTGCGTTCCAAAGTAAACAGTAACAAGTAAGGAAGGGCTAAGTTCGGATGTAACCGAACATTTTATACTCTCGCAAAGTCAAATAGTATACTAGTTTGAGATTTCTTTATGGATTGACTTATATTTTCGGTAGAAGGTCAACTATAGGCACTGGGGTCCACATATTTAGTACTTAGGGGTTTGAACAGTTTTGGTTCGATTTAGACAATTTTTGGCCGCAAGGTGGCATACTTTAATTGCATTATTCACGCAAAGTTTTACCCCGATATAATCCTTGTTACCTGATTTGCATAGTGGAAAGTGAAAGAATCAGATGGAATTGAAAATGGTGTTACATGGGAAGTAAGCGTGGTTGTAGTTCGATTTCGCCTATTTTCGCACTGTAACATAGAAACATGAAAAGAACGTTATGCACCGAATTTGGTTGAAATCGGTTGAGCAGATCTCAAGATATGGGTTTTCACCTAAAAGTGGGCTGTGCCACGCCCACTGACTAATTTTGAACGCGGTTCCTATAAAGTCATCTCATACCATCTCAGAGATAAAATTTAATGTCTCTGGCGTGTTTAGTGCTTGATTTATCGCGCTTTTAGTAGTTTTTAACAGTACCGTTATATGGGGAGTGGGCGGAGTTGCCACCCGATTTCAACTATTTTCACACCGTCAATAGAAGTGCTAAAAACATTTGCTTCTAGTGAATTTTGTTATTATAGCATTAGCGGTTTAGGAGATATGCACATTAAACCTATTAGAGGCGGGACCACGCCCACTTTTTGAAAAAAAGTTTTAACTGCAGATGCCCCTCCCTAATGTGATCCTGTGTACCAAATAACAGTCTTGTATCTTATTGCGGAGCTTAGTTATGGCAAGTTATTTGTTTTTGATTAATGGCGTTTTGTGGGCGTGGCAGTGGTCTGATTACGCCCATCTGCAATACCAACCGTCTCACGGTACCATGAAACATGTCTACCAAGTTTCATAAAGATATCTCAATTTTTACTCAAGTTAGAGCTTGCACGGACGGACGGACAGACGGACGGACGGACAGACAGTCACCCGGATTTCAACTCGTCTCTTCATCCTGATCATTTATATATATATAACCCTATATCTAACTCGATTAATTTTAGGTGATACAAACAACCGTTAGGTGAACAAAACTATTATACTCTGTAGCAACAGGTTGCGAGAGTATAAAAAAGTAACAAAGTAAACTCTAGTGGCGCCATCTATATGGCGACTAGTGCGTTAGAATCTGCTATCCATTATCGACTTCCAGTAAAAATTTCATGACATTTCATCTATTGGAAATGAAGTTATTGCGTTTTAAGATTGGTAAAAAAGATTGGTAAAACTTTTACCGAAACGTTTCAATTGATGAAACAAGTTTATGGCGATGATTGCCTATCCTGTAGAAGAGTGCACGAGTGTTTTCAACGTTTTCAAAGTGGTCGAGACCGGACGAGCCGAAACCCAAAAAACCGAGCCTGGAGAAGTCAAAAGTGAAGACAATGCTGATTTGTTTTTATGATTCCAAGGGTATTGTCCACAAAGAATTTGTTCCATCCGGCCAAAACGTTAATGCGGTATTCTACCTTAGAGTTTTGAAGCGTTTAGTGCGCCGTATTCGACGTGTTCGGCCCGAATATCGCGAAGATGGAAGTTGGCGTTTGTTGCACGATAATGCGCCGTCTCATCGATCGACGCTTGTGGCCGATTATTTGACCAAAAATCACATTTTAACAATCAATCACTCCCCGTATTCACCTGATATGGCACCGTGCGACTTCTTCCTTTTCGGAAAAATGCATTTGCCAATGAAAGGACCGAGCAAAAAGCTGTATTAAAGCAGAAGGAGACTATTTTGAATTAAATTAATTGATTTTGCCGATAAAAACCATTTTTTTTAAAAGTCCTGTTTACTTTGGAACGCACCTTGTAGAACGCAAAATAGTTGCATAGCCCTAGAAGTTTTTTGCTAATATGCAAGATTTTGAAAATTCCTTAATATAAGTAGCTCTATTTGGCAAAGTAGTAAACATAATAGAATAATACATAAGCGACAATTATACAAACACAGTAATGAATAATAAAGATAATATTACTATTTTTTACTCACCAATGCTTAATGGTGTGCCAATTTTGCCGGAGACATTTAGAAATTTAAAATCTAGATTTATTAAATTTTTGCGACCGAAAAACGACATTGAACCACTGCCGTCGGTGACACTATTCGCCGCAACTGCGCTGTTTTTTGATGATTTCCCCGACGTGGACGTTACAGGTGGACCAAGTGTTGTTGCAAACGAATGTAATTTCTCCAATAACGTGGTAGCGTTGAGTGCACCGAATGGTGGACCGGCTGTGGTGGTAGGGTCCGTTGTACTCGCAGCGGCGGTAGTTTGTACCGGGCCAGCAGTAACAGTACACAACTTACTAATGCTGAGTATGCATGTGATAAAGATGAAATTTGACGAGGTAAAACTAAAACTGATCACTTGTTGAATTTTACTTTGGTAATTGCAGCTGCTATTGAAAAATTTGCTAATTTTCGGCGGTTCGCTAGCGTTCGAGGTTGTAGTGCAAGACAGTGTTGCCATTGTATGTGAACGATGCGATTAGAAAATATATTTTAGCTGTACTTAAAACAATTATATTCTCTTAAATTAGTTTTTCTTTTGTTGAGTAGGATTTAATTGATAAACTATATATATATATATATATATATATATATAGGTATATATATAAACCACAATATGTTTGTATATTGAGGCTGACACTATTTGGCTGTGTAAAAAAACATATTACTCCCAATTTTCTTTAAATAATTTGCAACTTTTATATATACATATATTTTCTTTTATTCGGGCAATATTTGCTTTGTGAACAAACTTTTTTTATAAATAAAAAGTATTTTATACAAAAAATTATATTTGTTGTATATACATATATTGAATTTTTCACTTCTTATCTTTTATGATTACACTATTTCATTATATAGAATATTTGTTTGAAAATAAACCGCATGAGATCATATTTATATAGTTTATATAACCGAAACACGCCGATGTTCTATCAGGATTAGCATTTAAGCGCAAAAGATAAATTCTTTTCGGCATGTTTTAAAGAAAAAATAGATGAAAGTATGACTTGTAGATAATTACACCACTTTATCATATTACAAGTATAAAGATCACACCAAATAAAAAAAACATTGATGCCAAATAAATATACTGCACTGCCGCAAACCCAAAGTAAAAATTAGTAGCAAAAAGGAAAATGAATGGAAGACCAAATGCAGCAATGAAACCCGATAAACAACTTACGAAAATACGCAAACTCATATTGGTGATATGACGCATGACGAGCGAAAACGAGTTAACACGGCAAAGCAGCAAGTTCAGCGAAATTTTCGTATGGCCAAAACAGACACAATTAAAAGACACAGATAATTAAAAGCATAAAAGATATTTGAAAAACAGCCAGAATGAGCAACAAAAACATACACCAAAAGTAGGTAGAGCCTCACAGTGAGATATAGCTGAATAAAATCAACGATAAATATCTAAAGAAACAAACAATGTAAAAAAAATACTTTTTGGTCTATTTCAGTTAGATAACGACCAGCTGAAACGGTTCAGGTGTGCGATTATCTAGCGTATTACTCGATGTATGAAAATAATATTTGTGAACAGTTATATTGCGATCGCAGTGATAAAACGAAAACACATTTATTACGAACGTAACAAAAAAAGAAAGCAGAAGCGCACACTATTTTGCCGTTTCATAAACAGTATTGTGCTACTGTCGACATATGTCAATAAACTTTTCAAAGTTTTACGAATTTGTTTAATAGAAGACCGATTATCACGATTAATTTTACACTTAAAACAACCTTGTTCAAGCCTTGCCACATTTAGAAATTAAAAAAAAAGTAACACAAAACAACTTTATATTTTTTTACTACATATTTTTACGGTTATGTGATATATCATACTCTTACTTATATTTTATTCTTATTTTACTTTTCTTATATGATATTATTCTCTCATGCGCACCGAACTGTAAATTCCAATACCAAAAACACACGTTACGCACTCGAACCGAAGAAACCGTCGTCGAACACGTTATTATACAAACGATTTCGACCCGAGGACGCACAACAAACGACTGAAAATTTAAATTTCAAGAGGCACACGCCAAACATCACTTGGCTACAAAACAGACCGATGAGCAATATAATGAAAAGGCCCGCCAACCAACAAGCTCTATTACAAGTTTCTCTATTTTGATTCAACACATAGCAGCCAGTTCCATGTGATAATCGCAAATACGCGTCAAGATCTTTACTCTCACCTGTTAGCCACCACAAGCCCATAAGCAAACATGCACACTCTTACTAAAGTCAAAATTTAGTCCAATCAAAACACGTATTCATTAACAACAGTGTTTTATGCTACAACTCTTTCTTTCTACTCTCGCACAGTGATAAAACATCTTGCTCCCAAAGTGATATCGCAGAGTTGCTTTGTAAGACCCAGTTCACACACGGACTCTTTTGTCACCCAAACCGGTTTTGTGTAGGCGAGGGAACGCCGAGGAAAGACAAACCGACCATACCGCGGGATGGCACGCCTTGTGTTATTTTCGTAAGAGTGCGTGGGTAGAATAATATAATTGTGAATAAGGAGAAAATTAAGATACTCAAAAATATTTTATATAAATTTTGAATAACTTTTAGCGATATTAAATGTAATAATATATACATAAATGAATTATACTAAAAATGATAACTTTACTTTTTTTATATATACGTAAGATATTTAGATGCTTTCATATTTATTTTCTATTTAAAACAAGAATTGTGTAATCAAAAATTACGGGTTTTTAATACTTTCCAAAAGATAAGGAAATTCCTGTGATAAATTTGGCCTTGAAAATTTTAGGGAATCCCCGACTTAAGTATTTCTATGAAACTATTAAGCGGGTATTATGCATATTGTTCTACCACATTCATGGTAATTCCTTGCAACAAAATTTGAAACCACCATCCCAACATACAAATGAAATATGCAACACACTCTAAGTGTCGCGGAGCCGAGCCCCACAATCATTTGCGAAAGTTTTATGAAAAGGAATCACAGTAAAACTCGATTCAAGTTGCTGGACTATTTTTTGCTTGTGTGAACGCACAGAGCGATACCAAAAGAGAATTTGTCGATAATTAGCGACAAAAGAGTCCCCATGTAAACGCAGTATAATAGTACACGTGGTCGCAAATTTAACAACAACAATAAACAGTATTTGCCACGATTATTTTATATGAGATCTCCTATTACAACGTTAATAAGCATATTTAATGAGGACATAAATCACTTAAGAGTAGCATGCTTCTCTTTGTATTCGTTTGATTCCGTCAATGATTATGCTCAAGTAATATCGTAAATTAATATAACGACAAGCTTCCCTAGTGTTAAATGAAAGTGTGAACTTTAAGTTTCCTGAAATCAATAAATTACAATTATATGTTATTTTATTTTAAATAAATAATCGACGAAGATTTTTAATTGTATGTCGGTTAGACGTAGTTTTTTTGCATCGACTGTATATTATCGCAGAAATATAATATTTGTTGAGAAAAGTCGTTTATGTGCAGGAAATCATTGGAACAGGAAACGGGGAGAGTTGTCATACTATGGCTAACTAGTTTAAGACCAAAAATAAAAGTGATTACTTAAAATCGCAGAAAATGATTACCGATTTTTAAAACGGCTTTGGAAAGGCGTAAAAATGTTGGCAAATTCTATTCTTTCCAAACTGATTTCCAAATAAAACAAGTGGGTGCATGGAAAATGCAGAGAAGATAGCTTCTTTCCTTGGTTTTTATTTTTCTCTTAGCAATCGAACTCTTACCTATGCTATCATATTCGATAACGAATGCTAGTCCACCGATTTACATATATCTTAATAGGGAACAGTGGGGACCCGTACTATCCGAAAATAACGCTAAACCTCAGTCATGAATCCACAACCATAGTAAAATGTGTTTGCGACACGATTTTGTTGCCAAAAATGTGAAATATAGAAATAATATGTGCTTTGAACACAGCCAAAAATTTGTAATAAAAGAACGACCGACCGTCGGTGATATGGCCCACCGTGATTGCTGAAAGCTTCCCGAACGTCAATTTAAGTTGGCATGAAACAGAAACAAATGCAAACAAAAAACTTTCGAAGCCACGAGCGGTGCCACTATAAAACCCTTTAAATGATAAGTGACAATCAGTCGTCCAGTACTTGAGTCACAATTATGATCAATTAAGTTCGATTAATTATTAACATGGGTCATGAATATGCGGGTACATGCGAGCGCAGTCACACACCAAGTGGATATGCGAGACCAATTGTAATGATACTGATGATAAAAATAACCATAACAACTGAAACCAGTCCAACTAGTGCGCCTCTCACTCTATAATGAACCATGGTATGTATTGACTAATTGACAGAGTGTGTGTGTCTGGCAGTGACAATGGCAATGATAACGGTTTACATGCAAATATGCAAGTATCAGTACGTACATGAAAATCAAAGGTGTTTCAAAATACCTATGATTTGTTAGCTTTTTGGGGAGAGTACAGGTTATGTCGGTGCACATAGAACAGAATCTGAATGAATACAATTTTCGTCCGTAACCACAAGGAGCTGTAAAAACAGGTTATATCGGGTTTTCGCATAACTCTTGTATTTTCACGATAACAAAGTGTGAATAAGAGATAATTCAACATAGAAACTGAAATTATCAAAAAGCATAATAAGTTTTGCATATAATTTCTGATAATTAAAGATATAAGACATTCGCTTCACTGCATAAAAACGTCAAAAGAAACTTAAAGTTTATCAGACACTTCAATAAGAGCTCTTGAAATATTCTCATAAGTATAAAAATTTGCCCTCGAGTGTGTGGCACACAGTGCGCTTGTTAGAATAATACGAGAGTGCCCCCTGATTCCTTAGGAGTTACATGGGTTTCACGGCTTCAAAAAAATTAATTTTCAATTGACAATTATAAAAAATATTTATTAATTGTGAGCTAATACATTTATTCTTTTGATTAAGTATTAAAAGTTCAAAAATCAATAGTTTTAATACATTACAAAATCAGAAAAAAGGGTTTAAATAGTTTCTGCATATGTTTAACGGATTCATGTATAATAATATTTAATCTTAATAAAGGTTGGGTATTTTAATTTAAATTCCCAAAATTTATTATTTTGTCCTAGCTGGCTACAATGGGAAATGTTATAAAATAAAACCCTAATTTTGAAGCGCTCTCACACTGGAATAAGTTGGGCATCCCTTTATCCCTGGTTTGAATGATAAACATTCCTGAATAACCTATATATATTGTAAGATAACATAAATATTTTAAGCAATATGAACTTCTCATTTATACAAAAAATTGTTTACTTATCGGTAACCAGGCTCAAAAGAAAACTTGAATTAATATCAAAGAAAAAAAATACTGCATAAAAAATAAATATTTACAATTGCATAAGTTGATAAAAAATGCTATGCTAGCTTTACCGCGGCAGTCCTCGAGTTCCACACGTAGTTTTTTTTATATCGGATGACCCAGTAAGAAGTTTTCCTGTCAACATGGAGGGACTATCGGAAATGACGTCGTAATAGTAAAGTTTTTAATATTTTTCTTTGAAAATTTCATAAAATCTTTTTAAAATATGTCTTTTTGTAATATTAAAAAGTTAGAAAAAAAATTTTACCGGTTTTTGCTGGAGGAAACCCATGGAATCCCTTAATACTTGTATAGCAAAATAATATACAAAATTCAAAATCGATGTGTATTTATGAAAAATAAGTCGAAAATTTTTAGGAAATTAATTTTTTAGCTAGTTGTCTTCTAGGTGAGCAAATTATTACCCTTTTTATAATGTTGCAATTATTTACCGTACAGCCAAAAGCAGTTTCATAAAATTAAGCCCTGAGCTGGATTTACTACATAAATATAGCAATAGAAAAGAACATTACTGAATGGCTTAGATTGAGTACTGATCACCACCAAAAAGTAGCTGTATGTAGGTACACATATTGCATAAAAGAAAGAAATTCCTACAGGTATATCTAATGTCAACAAATTTCAACACTGACTCATAAACCCATCGACCGGCATTCGACAATGTCACGACCGCAAGCGGTCAATTATGCAAACAACGCTGAACGCCCACGAAGAAGTCATTCCAATTACTTGCAAATCTGCGAGTCAATTATTTGCACTCGTACGCCCGCCAAGCAGTCTAACTTTTCGCAGTGTTGCATTTTCAAATGTTTGCACTTGGCGCATTTCTTCTGTACTATATTTTCTCTACATACATATATACGTATGGATATTCCTTTGTATGTGTGCACTTAATTTATAGCGTTCACGCAATTGCGGCGCATTAATTGTCAATAATTCAAAAACACGCACTAAATGCCGAAAATCAGACCAAAACAAAAATACGCACACATAAAGCATATGATCGCTGTATAACGGCAGCAATGCCTTCGAGTACATGAACACCCCCTTGTGGTGGGTGGGACAAAGAGAGCGCTGCTGCTCTTGATAATCACAAGTGACACTTTTCAATTTACGAAGCGTTTAACGCAAAACCATGAAAGCGGTCGTCACTAGACATAACACTACGCAAATATATTTTTAAAGCGTTTTACTTATGCTTATATTATGCTACATATGTAGATATGTATGTAGGTATGTACATAGTATATCACGTAAATTATTTGAAAAACTATAACACTCAAATTTTCCTCTTTCTTCACTTTCTTATTTTGTAAGTAAGTTTTATACCATTTGCTTTTTTACTCACATGTATGTATGTACCATATATAAGAGTATATGTAAGTAATTAATAAAAATAAATTCGCGTTTAATTTATTTTATTTTAATTTCACAAATTGTGGACTTTTTTCTGCACTGGTGTAAAGACGTCAACAATTCTTCAAATACTGAACAGTCAAAATAAAAGCATCCACAGCTAGTATGCAACTCAAAGTGTAAAGTATACAATTTAAAAATATAAGGGATAATAAAATTTGAAAATTGAAAATTTGAAACAAAATGAAAATATTTTGTGAGAGAATTTGTTTTGGGTAA